TCATCTCAGAAGGGTGTGAAACTTTGACTGGTTTACTCTGCCTGTCTAAAACAAATCCTTTGCGGTTGACTGCTTTTGTTCATCTGCAGTAAGTTGTACGTGACTGGTTGACACTTCTGCCTGACTGAGGTGGTGACTAGTGTGTGGTCAGGAGGGTTGTTCTGTATCGACCAGTTCATTTGTCGCAACTTAAATACATTTTGATGGGGAGGGGCACCACTTGCATTGATTACTTAAGGATACGAGTTCGGTCAGTTATACGCAAGAAGTCCTGATTAAATTAAATGACGTTCTCCGTTTTGGTTTTGCTTAGCTCTGCCTTGCATCTGAGTTGATCGATTCCTGTAATTGCTTTTCACTGAATAGGCTTGCGTGTTGCACTTAGGTCGATGTGTTGATTTATTGCTAAATTGATGAGGTGCACGTTTTTTGGCAACTTTCGAGCTCCTTTTGAATTTCCACATTTGAGCATTTTGAGGCTACAGCAGTCGAAGATGCGACTGTGGTTGTCACAATGTACTGAGATGAGGTGACTTAGTTTACTGCTTGAAATCAGATGTAACAGCGATTTCCCAAATGTGATTAGCTGTGGGTGTGGAACTATGACAATAATAATTTTTGTTTCAAATGATTTAATGAACGTGAATGCCTCCCATCTTTGCGGGCATTCTTTTCTTCGCTAGTCAGGCCTGAACACAAAAATATCGATTGCCTTGATCCAGTCTTAACTCAACTTTCGGAAAACTACAAGTTCAAAATTGACAGAGTAAGTGTATGTTTATTCTCTTCATTTTATTCCATGTCTTGTCAAGGTTATGAGGTTCCTTCGACTTCACACTTTGTTGACAGCAGAGCTTGTGGTCTGATAGTAACTGTCCCCTGATGTTCGCACCTCTAGGTGGTAAGAAACAACAGCTTGCAGACCTCGAAACGAAATACGGAGTACGTTTCAGTGCTGATTGTGAGTTGGGAGGACCAGCGGTCTGACGAGAAAGAGAAGCATAGGTGTATGAGGGGTGGCGTTAGTCTTCTTGGAATTAGTGGAACAACAATAAATGTAATAACATATGAAGAAGATATGGAGAACGAGTGACTACCCAGTTTAATTTTTTACTTATGGAATACCTTTGGAGTTTTATGCAGAGCCCTGGCTGTTTTACAAATACCTGAAGATAGTTACTTTGTTTCGCATTTGAGAATTGGTATGAGCTTGGGTGTGCATACGTTAGATCGCAAAAAGAGAGAGGGAAGACAGTGACTGTGGCCTGAAGGGAAAGGAAGATGGGCCTATGGTAGGAGCTTAAGTGGCTTGTTGCTTGGTACCTACTCACTTGCCACAGGTTGTGGGTTAGAACGGACAGTGTCGCAGATCTATAGGATGGTTGTGTAGTCAGCATATTTTCGAGGGTTTGATGCATCCAAAAGCAATGGCACATGTCAGAGTGTTGATTCCAAACTTAGGTCCAGGCAACAGTTGCAACACCATAAGTAATTTGCAGCAATATGAATTACTTTGTCGACGACAACCAGGCAGCTACTAACGATGGATTCCTAAATGCAGATGACCTTGCTGCGCCCCACTTTAATAGGAAAAAGCTTACTACCACTGAGTCAGTCCTTTGCTTTCGTAACAGCCCCGCTACTGACTGCTCCAAAATGCGTATTCGCTCAGGGTACAAAGTGTCCTATGCCTTTTAAGCCAAGTCATGAGCCATCGGCCTCGCATCAAGTCCTCACGCATGAACCCAGGGAGTAAGCGGAACCAAAATGCTCAACCATGATTTTCTAGCAGCGGTTACGTAACTATTCTTAGGTTAGGACCACAGCATTCGATCTATAACTTGGAGCACTCTCGCTTATGTGTGTGACGAACTGACATGTGCCCTATTGGTGACCGCGTTGAATCCAATGACTGTCCTCTCGATTCAGATTTCCCAGTTGGAGTGGCCCAGTAAACGTGTAAGAATAGATTTGATAATGTGGTGTACCCAACTATTCCTTGGTCTACCCCGCGAGGATCTTCCTACAGACCGATTTAACCAAACAACCGGATTAAAAGCCTCCTGAAATGAAGCGAATGCTCGCAGGACTTAATCATAGCGATAAGGAGTGAAACGATTAGAGTTGTATGTTGTAATGTCAGAAATGAATATTAAGATGTCATCGATGTGTACCACATAACAACTAGAAGTCGCCAGTGGATGTTCACCTTAACTCTAGAGTGCTAATACTGGCTTCTCTCCTCCTCTGCTATGGACAAGAGAAAAAGGCTTATTCTACCATAAAAAGTGGAGGATATTTGTGGCTCGCCATTTGTCTTGTTTTGTTATTTCTTCGTTAAAGAGCCTGTTCAGACCTTATTCCAAATAGTGAGAACACAGCAGCACAAAAGATTTGCGGAGAAACGAAGATAATTACTCGGTGTCGATCCTAAAGAACAGAGGCCATCCTCGAAACTTTATCAGAAGATGCCTATCCCTAACGTCATCAACTACAAAGCTATGGACAGAAATCAACAAACGCGCCATCCTGTCGAAAGTGAAGTATATATCAGAGATCACGACGAGATTACTGAGACTACTTGGAATTGGTATGGTTCACAAACCAACAAATTCCCTCCAAACACCATTATGCAGACGAAAGGATGCAACAGCCAAAGAAGAAAAACCAAGCATCACTTACAAAAACCAACTGTAATAATCGTGATTAATACCACACTGGAAAGAGTAATTGCCCTCTTCGCCTCTGTTTACTCGGACACCAATTGTCTATTAAACGTCACGACATTTCATCGCTTATTTCAATGAACGTGGGCAACTGTGGACAGTAACTCAATTTTGACAATGTAAAAATCTTGGACGGAGGAAACACAAAGAATATAAGAGAATTCCTAGAAGCTTGGCATTCAGTTCAGTGAGCAATCAATAGATGTGTAGAGGTAGATGCGACCAGTCAACCAATGAGAAAAATGAACGACATGAAGGTCAGAGGTCAAGCAGAGGAATAGACAGCAAGAAAATCTATGCATCCAATGACAACAACCAAAGGAAGCGACCAATCACAGGGTATTGAATCACTCATGGAGAGGTATTAGCAGCTCGCTTCATACCGACGTTAGTGATGATGATGATGTCTAGAAAGACGATGAAAGCGCCACGATTATACAACTCAGCCCAAACAGCACAATACAACCAAGACTTATTCCGCCTTAGCATCCCAAGTCTCTGAACGTGCGGCAATGCTTCAGTATCCTCTATGAGGCAGCTTGAATGCAGTATTTGAAGTAGGATAGCATAACAGTGTGCTGCACTATTCAGTGTGTCTTTGTTGAGGCATCTGAATGCCCCACAAGTGGAGAAATATCCTTGAAGCCATTTTCTTGCACCTTTGGTTCAGTTAACAAATGTTTTCAAGTTCACCGACATTCAATAAGAAAATGACAAAATCCAAGATTATTCCTCTGTTCACCCCACACCTTACAGGTTAGGACCTGGATAATGTTCTTCTCACTCACCCTTTATCTTAGACGCAGGGTTGACACTCAGTGTCAAATCCAAAACTCCAGAGCTTTTTGATTAGCCCAGCTTACAGAACCTTATCGAAAGGTTTACTGAATCCAACGAACACAGAATCAAAAAGCATCCTTTTGCCACAAGCCGCCAGCCATTCCTCTCTAACCACAAGGAAGTCGGTTAGGCAAGACCGACCAGCATGAAGCCTGTGTTGAATAGGTGTCAGGAAAGCAGGGTTTTAGAGATGGCTGAGCATTCCATTTCTGATAATCCTCTTGAGTACTTCGTTAACTATGGTACGCAAACTAATGGGACAGCAATTCGATACTATTTGCCTACTACCTGACTTGAAAGCCGAGCTGGTCGCGGCTTTTTTCCAGTCTCTCGAACTCCCAGTGTGATGCAGACGCATGCTGAACAGCTCTTCAAGCCACCCGGCAATGCTGTCAGTCCAGAAGGGTAATAATCTTGGATGCCAGACATCAGGACCAGGGGATTTCCGAGGCCTACGTTGTCCAGGAGTCGAAGAACCACTTCTCTTGTGACGTGCAATCAGCCTATTGTTGGGATATTTTGATGATTCTGGTGACAGTAGTGACATCTCCTTGTACTGAGAGGACTAAGCTGAAAGTCAGTGAGACATTCGGATGGCAAAAATTGAACACTGCCCACTCTTCTGAGTCTTCGACCGACAGGAAACATGGAACTTTATCCTTTTGTTTTTTCCCCCCTTATTATATGAGAATCACGATCCTGGACGGACTTGGCAGTTGATTACAAGTTAGCTTTTGCATTTCATTTTGAACCACGTAATATTTAATTTACGACTAACAAAAGGAACTCACTGATGGAACAAGTGTGAGAAGCCTTTTGTACACGAAGATGTGGAAATAACTGGATCTTTACAGATTTATTTACTGTAAGTATAAACACTGACTAGTAGCCTTCTTTCGTATTCCGTGAATACTTAGCTCTTGGTTCTCCTCGGAGGTCATTCCCTAGGAAATATCTTTCCTGGTTATACATACGCATCTGGAGCTTACGGTTAAACTCGTTGGTCAAGAGCAGAGGATCAAGTGACAAGTGTCTGAAGGTACCTACACAGACAGGAGTCACGGTTGTTCTCTAAACTTCCCAGCAGCCCGTAGCTCCCTAATCACTCTACAAATTACAACCTACTAACCCACAAAACATCCACCTCACCGAAGCTAAAAGCACGAAAGCAGAGGGGATTTCCTCATCCACTGCAGGAGTGAACCAAACAACTGGAACCAAGCCCTAAGAACTAGACGCGAGAGATCAAAAACGACTAGTTTTCTACGCTCGCACTATCAATATTGGATATTGGATATTGAATACTGAAAACTTAGAAGCGCCATTCATGAAGCATGATACTGTTAGCGGATGTTCCGAATTCGTGACGGGGAACTTATGTCTCCATCCGAATGAAATATGAGCACATAAGGTGTGCCTCTACTGTTGCACGGGATGTCTGACCAACTGCCATCCAACTGTCAAGATCCTAAATTGTCTGAAAGTCCGAATCAGTATTCTTTCGAAACGCTGAATAATTTCTACTCGGGAGCACCCAAATCAGCAACGTTGCATCCACTTGGTCGCCTTATTCATAATCTACCAACACTCAGAGGGAATAGCATCCATTCGATTCAGGATCCTAAGAGCCCGTCCCACAAATGGACCGCGACCGACAGATTACGTCTCATTCATTTTCTTCAAGAAATCCAACTTGATAGAGCTTTGGATGTGTTGCCGGACAATTGCACGTTTGAACATTTGTTGAAATGTTCTCTAGAGGATCTCCGTGCTGTGTTCACTGGTTACCTGACAGAGTCTGAAATAAATTCCCTCTATTCAGATTTACATTCCTATGTACTCATCAACAAATGTGAGACAGAGTCATGTGTGCGTTCCGAGGAATCTCACCTCAGAAGGGTAAGGATTCCAATGATTGATTTGTGTATTAACTGAAGTGTATTATTAGCTTTCTCGACAATTTATTTCTTTTCTGTATAATATGACCGAAAACTGTCAGGCTGTTATCAAAATTCTTAGGACAGTATTGTTCAACTGTGTCATGTCGGACAAACAAAGATAACAATTATGCCCAGACTCTGTAAACACATCTTAAATACATCAAAAAATTTAATGGGTAGTAGGTTTTCGAAGATGTGGCATAGCTACGGAAGTGCCTAAGTAGTATGAAGGGGATACAATTCAAAAGATAAGACTGTTGAATTGGTGACACGATATTAGTTTAAAACATAATTAGGTGACTACTGCAGGCACATATGTATTGAGTTTTACCGGTTACTATGCTGTAATTCATTGTTTTGTAGATGAACGTATGTCTGAAGTGACGTATACTTGAAAAAAGCTTGACGTCAAATATGTAAACTTTAAGCGCAGAGACAAAATTAGTCATTTTGTCGAGTGGTTTCAACCTATTTTCAAGTGTAATCAGAAGCTATTCGTACCTTTTGTATCCGTGACGAGGTCTTGTTGATTACTGACCAATTAGGGCTGATATGGCTTTCCAAGCGAGGTTATCAACTCAACCATTTCACTTCTTTTAGTCAGTTGGCTGTATATGTGTCAATCTAAGGGTCATTCAATTAAAAATACTTCGAAAGGGGACATTTCAGTTGTAATGTATTAACAGATAGTCCTTACGTGAAATTCAACATCGTTGATCTGGTTGTTTTATGTCATCCGCACTGTATTGGATGGAACGTACTATTGGTTCCAAGTCTTTTTGCTGTAGATCAAAGATAATGATGTATTCCTCAAAGTAACTTGTCGGAGACCAGCGTCATGAAATCCCAAACTTGGAAATTTACAGGGATTTTTCATTTTTAGTGTTAATGCACCTGTTAGTTTTACTTTTTCCTCTAACCACTTATCTGACTGTACTTCAATTCACCGTTGGCATGTATTTCAAGATTTATAATTCTACGTGTCACAAATTTTAATCGGACTCCATCCGAACTACTAGTTTTCCTTATTGACAATTTAATGACTTGATTAACGAACAACTATCAATGTGTTTTGATTTTCCGTAGTGTTCCGAAACTCGTCCCTCCGATCCTCTGCGACAAGCATCTGCATGTTCTCAACACTACTCTCGTCCATCACTAGGTTCATATACATGTACATCTACAGAATCTTACTCAACGGGCATGAAACACAAGTCGTTAGACCACTCAAACTCGCTAACGTCGGAAGGAAAACAATGTAATTATGACTGCAGCTTACTGAGATCGGGATTAGAACAACTCTCCAGAAATGTCAAACGTGCATCTTCGCTTGGTTCAGATGACATAACACAAATTATCCCAAACTGCCGTCCATCTTCTTTGTCTATGTCATCAGCAGTAACAGATAGTCACTCACTTCCTCTTCAAGAAGGTAGCAACACGAAGTCTAGTGCATATCCCGATTCATGTATAACTCAGGCTGATCTATCGACCTCTGAACTTCAGAAAAATTTGCAATCATCACGAAGTGTTTGTGAAGACCAAGCTAAAAACTATCTGACATGTTCTGTTATCCCAGCATCTTATAAGATACAACGACAACAAACAGATACAAATTCATTTTCTGTAGCCTCCAGTGTTTCGTACGCAATTCCTTTCTATCGACATGGCAACAATGACTCGCAACTTTCCCCATATTTTCCAAGCCATTTCTCAAATTACGATGGTTAGTAATGCTTTTACCTGTTTTAGTTGATATCGCCAAATTAATTCAATTTTTGTGAATAAGAATATATTCTAAGAAATATTTCATTATATATGCGCTTTGAGAGGAACCAAGTGGTAGGTCTAACACTAATTTAATTTCCTAAGACCACGAAGTTGCTTGACTGATTCTGCCCGGAATATCTGTTTTCCATCTTAGTTGGGTGCCACCGATTTTTTCTCACGGTATAATAGTATTGTTTACACGATCCTTTGGTCAAATTTCAAACCAGGATCCAATAGTTGATTAACCGACGACTAAGCTACCGGATGAATACAGGTGAAGACAAACTTGAATCGTGACATATAACAATTAGCCCATAACATTTAACATTCTTTTGCTTTTAAAATTTCATAAGCTTACTGCAACGAAAATCTAGCTCAACAGTAAATGACGAACAGCTTTCTCTTTGCGTAGCTGCCAGCTAGTGGCAATATGAAATGTTTCGATATGACCAAAGAAGATAAAATCTCTAATAAGTCGTTTATTTTCATTCTGAGTTTGGAAACCAGCAACACGAATACTTAATGACAAACAGTACCAGTAGCAGAGTTACATTGAGAGCATTGAGATCGGTGAATGACAGAACTAAAAGAGTACGCCATGTTTATATTTTACCACGTACTTTGCAAAGATATCAGAGGTAGAAGCGGCACATGCAGAAATTGATAGGTAGAAAAGTAACATAAGATGTAGGAGCTGCCTAACTAACAACTGTCATTTCATTTAAAAATTATTCATTTTGTATACATTTACTTTGGCTTCACGTGAACGATTTTTCTAACTGTTTCCTCTGTTTTAAAAAAAAACTTGCATGATACTTAAAAATTGCTAATTACATATTTTAATCACCAGGACATTCCATCCCAAGTAATCTCTTACGACTCAAGAGTAGCTTCATTGGTCAGTCTGCACCGAATTTATTACACTATATGGTGAGTTTAGTTTTTATTTCTCAATGATGTATTGCAAGAGAATTTGTTAGGACTAATTAATGTGATTATATCCCATAACTGAGAAAGCAGCTGTCTAGTTAAAACCAAAGATAATTGGTCTGTAATGGGTTTGGTTTATAGCAACTTCCTACCAGTCTTTTTGAGTATATTCTATGGGGATTCGATTGTGATTACTCAGTGTAAGGCAAACCCATACCACTGGTCACTGAGTGCCACAGAACAGGGAGTGGCATGCTACTTTGAGGTTGATCATTTCCAAACCTCCTTGTTATAAGGACAGCAGCAACAACATGGTACTGGTGGTCATCGGTGGGGAACACCTTACTGCTGTTTCACTTCATGTAGCCAGCAGTACGACCTGACCCGCCGACAATCATCTTATCATGGCAGCACACTATTACAGTGGCATCTGATAGTTATATAACCTTTAATCTTCGACACTGTTCGTCAGACTGATTCTACTGTGGTTATCACAAGAAGGTTTCTCTCCTCTTCTCAAGACTCGGATAACCTGTGATTGAGATCAGTCAGCAGGGATCATATGTGACTCTCATACGTCAGCTAATACTTCAGTTAGTCTGATCCGTGATTATCGACCACTGTCGTTAAACACCATCGACGTAAGTCCCTGCTGCCCTTCTTAGCTTCTGGATACTCATAGAATATTCAACTTCTGCAAGTGTTAAAGGCCCTTTCTTAATTTTCCATTCCAAACCTAACTGGAAAGCTAGAAACGGAGTCGTAGATGAAAGACACCTGAACTGTTCTTCAGTCGTCTTTCCTGTGGTTGAATCGCAGACCAATCCCTCCCTGCTATAGTCTTACTAACCATTGCCCTTTGTACCCGTTTCATTCTTAAATCGGTTAAGTCTACATTCGAGTTGCTCCCACTCTTCATTGTGTTTAGAGCCTGCAGGAATGCGTTCACGTACATCCAATTATTGAAAGGAAGCTGGTGAAATCCACTATCCCCTCTTCGTCACTTTTTAAGAATCAGCTACGGTCTTTAACTCTGTTTTTACAACAGACGAGATGGTGCCAAGCTTCTCCTAGTTGAGTAATGTTGTTCTGTACCGATAACTGTCTAGCTGGTTTCTTGTTGAAAACGGCCTTCGTATTCGTATCGTTGAGTAGCACTCACAATGATCCTGATGTCGTAGTTTTGCTATGACGATTTAGGCGCGGACGTACGTGTGCTCGCTGTTCAAACACGTTTTACACAATGAGCAGCCGTTTTCCACCGAGCCTCTCCTGCGATAACTGGTAGCTGTATGGTCCATCTGTGTCTACGGTTTAGTCGACGTCGGTGATCCCACGTCAAATAATGTCTCTCTTTTTGTCTGAATTTCGACCTGGTCAGAAATAGATAGTTGTCTAGACACAGTTGTGGTAAGTGATCACCGCTATATGTGTGACTGGGATTCTGAAAGTTACCCTTTCTGCCTGACTCGACCTACCCACTTGTGCATTAAAGTCGCCTGCTGTAAGAACTACACTTCAACATTTGACTTTTCGTAGAAGGCTAGACAGTTTTCGATGAAACTCATCTTTCAGTTCAGAACTACTGTCATCGCGTGCGTTTGTTGAGGTTAGAAAGAGACAAAGACGATTTTCCCATCTTTCTTTAGTCTTCACTGCATCATTCAGTCGAACAGCGCACAGGTGACAGTCAACTTGGGTCATCCAGTCGTGCAGTACACTTTCTCCCTTTGGACTTGATGCCTATGATAATTATCTTAAGGAGCTTGATTGCAGACAGAGTTGTGAAGCTGGTTGACACTTTCTGGCTACCCACATTGTGGGAGGCTAGTTCTTGTCATATTATCTGAAGAAAAATTAGTGCGGGACCACAAAACCCAAGTGAAATCTGTTTGAGACTGGTAACATATAGCTCTTTTAGAAGTTTGATATTGCTCGCAAATCCAACCCTTAACCCATGTTGCCGACACTGGTGCACCGTGAATTATTTTTAAAGCCGATCTTTTCTAACTCCTTTCCCCATAACTATTTATATATGTGTATAGCGTTAAAGTGTATCTGTCGTGTAGTACATGGTATATTTCCCTCTTTCCTATCTCTTCTTTCTCTGCTTCTACAATGTCATTAAAATAACTTCAAGAAATATCTATTTAATATTGTTTATCACTTTATGGTACCGTGAATTTATGTTTGTATGATTGACCAACAGTGGAAACGCAACACATTGAGGGTCGTGTACTCATACTTTATGGTCTGTGCAAAAAACTGTACCAAAAAATAGCTAAAATGCCAATAAATAGATTGAAGCATCCTCGAATACAAGATAAACGCCAATTGTACCACATTTGGTAATAAAAAGTGGAGTTACAAGAGAACACATAACGCGCATTCTCATATTCTGTCTATGAAATCGACACCACTGCAGTTTACTACTCTATAATAGTGCGAACAGCTCTCTGAAAATTCTGTTTATAAGATTTTTTTGACTAACTACGACTAATTGTGGTTGAGCAAGTTAAATACACCTGTTCATTAATCATGACTGAATGCATATGTGCAGATGCAACTAAGGATCGAGACTGATATGCATTCTAGTAACTTAAAAGTTGTACACTAATAAACCCATACTCTTTTTAATATTGCACCTGTGTGAGGTGCCATCGAGCTATAAATAATGACTCTAAACTATTGAAATAGAGCTTGTTGATGGTGTTTGACTGTGATTGGAGTAAAGGTAGGGTATTGAAACGTCTCGAAGGTCGGATACGTCTTGATAGGGATCCGTTAACAGTCTACCCTAATGGTATAAATAATCGTTTTGGACATGCCATGTAGCGTAACTTTTAAATGTTACAAGTCTAGTAAATGTTTCCATTCCTAAAGATTAAAATTTTCCACTGTTGTTTGGCTTTCATTTGTTTCTTTGACTTTTCATCTTAATTCATACTACCCCTTTTATGTGTTGCGTTAAAAGTTCTGGAGAAAAATTCTTTTTTCAGCCTTCGTGATATAAGCAAATAAAGAATAAATTTTATGTTTCGTGTCATAATTTGTCAGGAAATATCATTCTAAACAAAACTGTCGAATAGTCTGCGATGTGACGTATGAAGTTATGATCTTACATCGTTTGACGAGTATCTAAGCTACTACATCAACTGTGGAAGCATTCTTGAATTCAATATGTCATATAGTTCCTAAGTTCCACAAATTTAAAGTTTTCCCAACTTTTCACTCGATTTCGAACAGCTGCCATTTTGAATTTTTTTTACTCTATGTGACGTCATCGCGGGAATCGGATGAAAATAAAGTAAGATTTCGATTGCGTGTAATACGAAATTTGGTACAAGGTTCATGGGAAGTAAACCGATTTTAATATACCCCACTGGTGACAAATGTATGATAGAATTACATCAAAAAATACTTATTGTTGATTTATTACTTTGATAGCTGCAATGTAGAAGTTAACTTGTAGTATTTTATGGGAATTACTACATATAGGTTATTTGTTTGAACACAAGAGCACCGAGAAATGTGCCGTACAAAATAATTCAGCAACATTATAAAGAAAAACGAAACGGAAGAGAATGGGAACTAAGGCAGAAGTGGTTTGTCAAAGCAGTAGTCTCAAAGATACCCCTGAAAAAGCACTTACTGCTTTCATTTTACTGCTCAGTAGTAAAAGAAAAAGGAAACTGCAGCATGGCTGTCACTGGTTTCGATTTTGAGCCACATCTGCTATCGTATCAAGCCATTAAGGTGCATGATCTCTTGAACCTCATGCAGAGAAGCATGAAGCAACTTCAAATGCTAAGCCAACACAACTACACTTTATTGGGCAGAGCCACTTTCTACGCTGGCCGCCTCCGCTTTTTCCGACTACTCAGGCCAGGTGAGTGGTTTGGAAGCTTATGGGATGGTAAACGTAACACACATCCCAGCCAATGAAGCTGTTGTGTAGGGATGATCACAATCAATAAATAATGGTCTCCATCCAGCCCAAACACTTCAGAATAACTTACATGGTGTTTCTACCGAATGCGATCAGTCCTTCAAAGACAGCGATCAGGAAAAACACAAAGTCGTCGAACATCTTCATCTTGAAGAGGTCAGGTTTCAAGCACAAGCGCACCCATAGATGCGTTTTAAACCCGGTCTTTTATAGCAAAGTTAGCATCACGACGTCGTCAGAAGTTCAGATAAACGTATACCATTCCGGCTTCAGATATACGACCGGAAACCGCATCAGTGACATCATCGCCATTCACAACCACCTAGGCACGCAAAAGTTTCGACAAGTTCCAGTGGTTAACCACCAAGGGGCTAGTGCAAGAACAGACTCTTGCCAATCTTGTAGAGGCAACTTTCACTTCGACGGTGTAAAGAACATACCATACTTGTGGACAATGATCACTAAGTGGTAGGTTGCAGTTTGAGTACTCTGTCCGTAAAACAGTACAACAATATCGTCCGCATAATGTAGGTCGGAAAGTTTTTCAATTGATAACATATCTACACCACTGCTATTTCGAGAATGTCATCAATGGCAAAGTTAAAAAGGAATGGGGAAATCGGTCAATCCTACCTAAACACACTCTTAGTTTGGAACAATGGAAATAGTTGGCTGTAAGTCTTCACTGTACCTGAAGTATCGAAGCATAATGCATCTCAGGGACACCACTCTAAGAGACTATTGCTGAATGCAGTCCTGTCTAGCAAATCGAAGGCAGTCCTTACATCGAGGAATACAGCTCCTGTTGACCTATAATACGTGAGACAGTTTGGTCATGAGATGGAGGATAAACACACGACCTGAAAGAAACCCAGCCTGCTTCTTTTGGATCTTTTTTCACATGTCTTCCTCACCCTTTAAAGTGTGATAGCAGCCAACACTTTTGACTTTAGCAGCAGCTTACTGATACCACTTTGTTTATCACACATCACATAGACACTTTTTGACGATAAATGCAACAATGGCTTCATTCCAGAATGTTGAGAAACTC